GCAACCCACAGCTGCCTCTCTCAAATGCTTTCTTACCAAGAGCAGGTCCACTTAACCCCTTCCCAGGGTGTCCCACTGAACCCTCTCGGCAAAATTAGGTTGGAAGTCAGAGAACCAGAGACCTTAAAGGTCATCTGATGCTTGTGTCCCTCCAAATGTCACAGCCAGCCTCTGCTTGAATGGTACCAGGAAACCCTCAACTTCCAAGGCGGCCCATTCTGTGTTTGGCTCGGACTGCTCCTTCCTGCCAAGATGGCACCGAAGCACCTACCCCTTGCAGCAAACTGGCAAAACCGGTGCTCAACCTGACAGTTGGTAGGGACTGGCCCCAACTTAGACTGGTCAAGTGGGTGTATCTGGCCAAATAAAGGCTCAAGGAAGGAAAACTGAGGACAACCGGCTCTGCCCCAAGCCCAGCATGGAATCTCTTCCTTCAGAAACACCACAAAAACCTTCCCAGTCCCCAGTGTACATCGGGGTGAAAGTGTAACCACAGCCAGCAAGGTTCCTAGAAGCCTCCACTCCTGGCAAGGCCCTGGCCTTCAACCAGTGGCTCACAACAGTCCTGAGAGTTCAGCGGTGGGCTGACACTCAGACCCAGCAGGGGCTGGGCTCGGGAAGCCGAAGCCTTTGCTCTCTGGGGTCAGATACTGCCTGGAAGAAGTCTGCAGCCTTGCCTCTCCTTCCTTGAGACTGAATCCTCTAAGCACATGGCCACTACGCTGTTTCACTCCAAGAACTAGACTACTAAGCCAATTTGTCTCAGCCTCCCTTGACCCCATCACTCCTGGCCTCATCCACAGCTGAGCCCATGGCCAGAATACAATGCTGGGGGTCTGTATGCCATGAAAGGGGGTCTGGGCCTGGAGTCCCAGCTGAGCTGATCCCAGGGAAAAAGAAGCAGGCCTGGTTCAGTGAGTAGCACTGATCCCTCCCCTGACTCACCTTGACGATACAGCAGCAGCCACGGGGCCTAGTGTGCAGTGCTGGCCCTCATGGTTCCCGCTGGGGTCCCTGGTCATCTCTTTGAACTTGCTCTCTTGCCCATTTTGCCCTTTACTTGGCAGAGTCCACCTTGGGTCCTCTGGACAGCTCCAGCCCTGGAGAGCCCCTCCCCATCTTCTCAGGATCTCCCTAGGGATATGGGGGGCACTTACAACTAGATCCTCAAGAATCAAGGGCACAAGTTTCTTCTCAAAGCTTAACCGCTGTTTCAAAATCATTTTCACCCTGGCCTCCAGGTTTTCTCAGGGCCTGGGAATCAGCCTAGTGGGGCCTAATCCTGGGGAGCCTCCCAAGTGCAGCCTGGATTCACCTGTGTTTGAAAGCTTCCTTCTTCCTCCCCTCCCCCTCCTGGCTCCCTCCCCCAGGGAAATCACTCTAAAAGGGCCTAATGGAACTATGTCCTCCTCTCTTCCTCTCTCTCCTCCCTCCCTCCCTTTCTTTCTCTTTCCTCTCTTTTTTTTTTATTAGCATTTGTGGAATTTATTCCCAAACTCTCCTAATCTTCCGTACACAACCATTTGATTTGCATAACCCAACCCCCTCTCATAAAAACTGGCTGCTAGTTTAATTAAAAAATGTAAATTTGCTGTCATCTCGGGGCCTGGTGAATTAGGACGACATCGGCATTTTTTATTGCTAAAGACGTCCAGATTGATCCAGCCCTTGGCTGAACTATGGTGGAAGAAAAGGGATCCACATGGTCCCTGAGGGGCTTGAAGTCCTGCTTGAGGTACCCCCGGGTTGAAGCCATGGTTCTCCCACCACTGAGTTACTTATGGCTGGAGTGCTTCCCTAGACCTGTCCGAGGCTGGAGGTGATGTTAACCCACGATCTGATGTTTACTGGGTCCCTGGTGCCAGCAACCCTTTGGGGCCTGTGTCTCCAGCCTTGTACAGTGCTAGCTGCTGGTGATGGCCTCAAAGAAGAGAGCCCCTCACCACACCAGAAATGAGCCCAGGCCAGAAATGAGGCCCCTGGCCTTGGCTGTCAGCAGAAGTACATTCAAGAAGTCGACGAAAGATGAGATGGAATGAGCCCAGAGACAGGCTCAGAGGGGATCTCAGAGTTCCCACCTGCTTCCCTTTTTTTGTGAAGAGGGGAAAAAGTGCTTTTCTTCTGAAGTCCTGAGATTAAGTGAAACTTCCAAGTTCAAAGAAAAAGCTGAGATGGTATCACCAGATGACTTCTCCAGGAAACAGTCAGAACTTTGACACCCTGGACCTCCCCTCACTGAGTGGCCAGAGCCCAGGCCTGGGTCCTGCTGAGAGTACCCTGCTCCAGATACGGGAGGGACCAGCTGACCTCAGGGGCCCTTCTAACTTCCAGGAAAAGTTCTCAGAGTCTGTCCCTAGAGTGCAGGGACAAGTAAGTGCGACAAGAGATTCTGCCACCCACAGGCCCTGCAGGCCCTCTCTCCCGTTGGGGATACTCTATGGAAGGGCATTGAAGCATGCCCCAAGAGCAGGCTGATGTAGGTGGGAGGATGGATGCCAGCTCCAGCTGCCATCGGGGTTGGAAGGAGGAAGATGAAGAAGGCCCAGCTTCCAGCTGAATAATGCTTGGGTCCCTTGTGCCCACCCACAAGCCAGGATCATCTGCCCTGTTAGGGAGCAGTGCATTACCACCACTGGTCCATCTATAAGGTCTGCTTCTCAGCTGGGATGGGTGGGGGCCCCCTGTTTCTAAAGAAAAGGGGTGGGGCCTGAGAGGGAGTTGATGAGACACTTGATTAGAGGTGGGGGCGGGCTGTTTCTCCGTGGGAGGGAAGGGCAGGGAGGGGCAGGGTGGCAGCCCTGGCCTCACACACCTTGACCACTTTGCCCAGCAGGGGGTGTCACACCCTTTCTGGGCACAGAGGTCGTGTGGACCTCCACATGGGATTCACCAAGATCACACCTGGCGGAACACAGTCTTAATACTCCCTCCCCCACAAACACATCTCCCTCCATCCCAACGCCAGCCGCCATGTCCTGTCACTGGGTCCCCAGTGCTGCCTCCTGCCTTCTCTGCCCACTTCCTTTTGACTTCAAAAGGTCAAATGTTGTCCCAAGGGGCAATGCCATGGACTTGGGCCATTATAAACAACAACTCTGACCCATACCACCTTCCATAAATGAAACAGAAGGGTTCAGAGATCAATCTCCAGGAATTATCAACCTGTTTAGCACAGATTTAAAAACATTTAAGAAGACAGTGCCTAGGGTGAGGGTCCTGGTCAAAATTCCATTTCAATACAGAGGGCTAATGGGAAGTCTTGAGGAATTTAAAGTAAACCACCATTCTAGACTCAGATGGGAAAAGAAGTATTTATACAATTAGATTAAAACCAATAAAACACCAACATCTCAGGATAAACTCTGCTCCAGGCCAGCACCAGGCTATCTGGAACCCTAAACTAGGTGCCATGCTAGGCACCCCAAAACCCAGACGTCCAAACTGAGTAGTCTGTCTGGTCTACTCTCTCCCAGGGTGGGGGCTAAGGGGGATCGGAGCGAGTCCCGGGCCCCTCACTTTGAACTGATAACAGCCGCCTCATCCCACGGGTTCTCAGGTGAAAAACACTCATTAGCCATAATAAGCAGCTTGTTCATCCGACACGGCCTTGTCCCAAATAAATTAAATTCCTTTACCTTGAGACAGTCGCCCCGAAACCAGACTAACCACCTTTCCCAACAGGACGCTGCTTTCAAAAACCAAACCAACCCCCCCACTAAAAAAATAAAAACACACACCCCATAGCCAGACACATAGAGATCTTTCCTGGGGGGGGGGGGAAGGTACAGAAAAACACGCAGCCATTCAAAAAACACGGAGAACAAAAAAAAAAACAAAAAACCCCACAAAAAACCCCTAAATCCTCTCTCTCGGTGCCCCCCAGCTCCCGCTCCTCTCTGTTCTTTCATAATGACAAGCATCAAATTAGTCACAGTCACTAAGCAAGTAACAAATAATAACAATAATATCATCAGAAGCCTCGCAATCCAGAAACCAGGGCGAGAAGCGCAGCCGGCATCAGACCCTCTCCAGGCCAGCCCCCACCCCCTGCTCAGCTGCTACCTCATTGGGCTAAAAATAATAACTTCCGTAAAAGAACCGAAAGAAAAGTGAAAGAGCCACCCCCTGGTTCCCACCGGCCGGTACCTGTACCAAGATCCATTCTCCTCTCTTTGGTCCCAAACTCTTCGAGGATCGCCAAAAAAAGAAGAGGAAAGAAAAGAAATCTGTTTAGTCTCTCGCAGTGCCCCCCACTTCCCACCCCAGCCTCCCCCCTCGGCTCCCCGCACCCTCCCCCCATCGAGGGGCGGTCAAGTCCCCAGGACTAGGGGAGCGATGAGAACCGGGACCCGGAGGCAGAGCGAAAGTTTCTCCCTCCCGCCCCGCTGGCTCTCGCGCTCCGGCATTGCACACTCAAAGCAGCTCCTCGCCGCTCTCGACTTTATTAAACTAAAAGAGAAACTATTTATAGACACGGCCCGGGTCTGGGGTCCCGGCCGGCCCGCGAAGCCGAGGGGCGCCCCCGTCCGCGCCCGGCCGGGCTAGGCACCCGCCGCCCCCGCCCCGCCCCGCCGCGCCGCGCCGCGCCCCCCGCCCAGCGCCCGGGTCGGAGCCCCGCGGCGGCGCCCCCTGCCCTCCCCCGCCCCACTCCGGTACTCACCATAGTCGGAGAGTCGAAAGCCGAATTCACTTAAATAATCAACTTTCATAATACTTAATTAATGCCTAATTGCAACTGATTACTCCCCGAATAACAAGTTGTTTTAAAGCCCTGATGTCATTGCTCCTGACGGTAACACTCAGGGTAACAGTTTGGCAGGAGGGAGCGGGCGGGCGGGAGCGGCCGGGGGCGCTGCCAGGCGCCGAGGTGATTGGCAGGGCGGCCGCGGCGCCGCCTCCTCCAGGCCGGGCCCGCGCCGCCCCGGCAGGTGAAAGAGCAGAGCTCGGCCCGCCCGCGCCCGCGCGCCCGCGCGCGCCCGCCCGCTGGGATGCTGGAGTGAATGGGCTCGCGCTCGCCCGCCCCGCGCCCGCTCCCTCACGCGCGCCTCCGTCTGATTCCCCCCTCCCGCCCCACGCGCGCGCGCTGCTCACACGCGCGCCCCCGCCCGGCGCCCGCTCGCGAGCGCGAGCGCGCGCGGCTTCAGCGCACCAGCCCGGGCGGCCAGCCTTACTGGCTCAGCGATTGCCCAAACCTTAGACTTCGGAGAGAGGAGGGAGGCGGGGACTCGGCGGCCGGGGACGGGCGGGAGCGGGGAGGCTGGCGGGGGCTCGGCGGTAGCCGGCGGCCCGCTCTCGCGCCCCCTCACCAACTCTGGCCGGACGCCGGCGGGCGCGCGCTAGCACACTCCCCTCTGCGCTCCGGCCCCGCGAGCGGACTCGATGGCGGCCGCGCGCGGACTCAGTCCCCGGCGCCGGCCGGCCAAGGGCTCGTAGCGCGCGCGGCCGAGCAAACTTTTGGGCGCGGGCGAGCGCAGGTGTGAGCGCCGCGGGGTCGCGCCTACTGAGCCTTACTCAGCGGCTTCCCCCTCGCGCGCCCCTCGGGTTTGGGGTGCGGGGGTACCAGGGGCTTTCTTCCCTCCCCCATCCCTGTTGGTGGTGGTGTTTTTTAGTTCTGAGGAGAAAAGACTCGGGGGCGGTGGGCCTGGGTGTCCCGCGGAACACGCGCGGCGGCTCGCGCTGTTTCGCACACCGTGGCCCCCCGCAGGCTTCACGAGTGCAGGGACCCCCGAGGTTCCACCACTTCGGTTTGGCTTTGCATTTAAATACACCCTGGCACCCCACCCCACCCCGATCCCTGGTCTACCCAGGTCCCCTCTACACCTCTGCTTTCGGGACCGTCCTGCTCCTCTTGCTGCCGAAAGTTCAGCCCCCAGCCCAGCAGCCGGGGCAGCATCTCCTCTCTCACCCCGCCTCGGCTATGAGTCCTAGGAGCGCCCCCACCACGGATCCGCGCTGTCACTTGGGTTTCTAACCCGGCCTCTTGCCTCCGCCACACCCCATGCAGGGCCGGGGCAGACAGGGCCCAGACAACCCTCTGCCGAGGAGCCAGCGTCCTGCCGCCTGCCCCCTCGGACATCGCCACATTTCCAGTCTGCCAGTTCATCGCTGGACCAGGCAACTTGTTCTCTTCTTGCCCTCTTTTCACCCTCAGAGAAAGCACTTTGGTGGGTCCTTCCGTCCCCAGAAGTTCCCGCTGTAGCCAGATATGTTGAGATTCCTTCAATTTTAGTCACCTAGGTTACCCACGGGGGTGGGGGGGTGGGGGGAACGCGGTGAGAGGAAGGAAGCAGGCAGGTGAGCAGGAAGCTGGCGGGTTTGCAGGTGAAACACCTGGACTTCACTGTCCCCAGCTCTCCCTCGGGCCCTCCGGCACCCAGCCTGCTACCTTCTTCCCCTATCCTGTTTCAGGGGAAGCCACACTTCAATGAGGGGCTCAGAGCCCAGGCTTTCTGCTCTCTGTTCTTTGGGCAAAGTTCAGCAAAATGGCGCTGGATTATTTTTGCAATATTTCTATTTTGCAAAGGGAGGACCCAGGGAGACCTCGGGGCAAAGAAGTCAGGGAATTTAACTATCTACTGATTCTCCCACTTTCCCCTTATTTTTGTTCTTCTTTTTTAAAAAAATTGCACTTTAGTTCCAAGTGGCCTCACAGGGAGGTTAGCGTCCCTTCCCCATCTGACTGCCCTCCTTGATGCCTTCTTGGCAACCTCCATTCCTGGTGGTACAACCTTTACCCTTCAGGTCTGCCCCATCATTACTGAGGATGAATAGCTGAAGAGGCCCAAGAGCTTTGAGAGTACCCTAGCCCTAAAATCCTGAATAAGTGACCAGAGCTCCTTAAACAAACCAAGCTCACTGTTTCCTAGATGTTGCTGGCACAGGGCAATCAAGCAGTGAAGCCACGAGGTTCTGCTCCCCACACAGGATCTCAGAGAGGGCACTGCGGCTTCCAGGACTGCTCTGGGGTACACACGTGCCTCTGGGTCCTCCCATCCCTGACTCCCCAAAGCAAGGCTTATAGCTTTGGGTTGTAATAACAAGCAGCCCAACCCAAATCCCAATCTGACTGTCTGCTTCCTGATATGGGCAGCTGGGATGTAGACAGAAGCCTGAAGACATAGGGGTGAAAGGGGAATTTCTGGCTGCATTTGAAATATGCACCTATGGGGAGCTCCCTGCATATATGGCCCATATGGCCTATAGTCTGCCTATGAATGTCTTTCTGGGCTTCTGAGGATGGTGGTCAGGGCCTGGAAGGGCCTACTTGCCAGTTACCCACCACAGGGCCGATAGGATTGGCTGCACAATAACTTTGGACCTCTGGTGGACCAAGGCTGGAGAGGAATGGCTGAAGGGTAGAACTGAGAGAGCTGGAAGGAAGAGGGAGCAGGCAAGGTGGGTTAGAGGGGCTTCTGCCAAGCACAGCCAGTAATAGACGGAGGCGGGAACAGCCCAGGGAGCCTCAGCCCTGCCAAGATGATGGCCCCCATCAGCTATTGCCGGCATAAGAAGCGCTGCTCAAGAGTGAGGGGCCTTCCTTCCTGAGACACACAGAAAATGAGGCCATCCTGGCATGTTATGATCTGAGACCTGAGAAGGCTGAGGCTTTGAGGTCATGGATGTGAGTCACAGACTGTGTCACAGCGGGGTCCCCCGATCTCTCTTTCCCTTTGTGTGAAGGGGAGAGACCCAGGACTCTGGCACCTCTGAGCCCGTGGCCCATTTTGCCTTGAGAACCCTGATGTGGTAACACCCCTGTAACCCTGAGGCCAGGCCACAGTTTCTGTGCCCAGGGCCCCGGGGATGGAAAGCCCAAAGCCACAGCTCCTCCCGGTCTCAAGGCCCTGGGCCCGGAGCCACCGGCTCCTCCTCATGCTCCCCACCCCCAAGGGAAAATGAGGAGTCCTACACAGCCATGCCACCCACTGGGCCCCTCACAGGGGTCTTGGGAAGCCTGTCAGCTCTCCCCGGGGAAGGTTCCCTCGACGGCTCCCAGCGCCCTCGCATCCCCGGTTTGCCCACTCGTTTTCTCTCCCTCCCGAGCCCGGGGCCTTCTCACTCAGCAGCCTGTTTACACACCAGGTATCTCATGCTTTATCTGCTCTCATTTTGAATTCGTAACTTTCACATAAACTTGAACAAAGCTCCTTTTGTTCTTGCACCCCACCCCAGGATCCCAATAAACTGGTTCCCTCTGAGGCGACTGGGCCAGGGTACTAGAGCCTTGGCCAGACGACTGTGTGCGCCTGTGAGCCAGCATGTTCACACCTGCGAGGGAGCCCGTGTGCCCGCGTGTGCGTGCCCTCCCCAGGCGGATGGCGGAAGAGTGTCAGAAAGAGCCCTAAGTCAGCAAAGTGTGGACGGGAAGGATGGTGGGGACAGAGCAAAGAGCCTGGTCGCCATGGCGTACGCAGGGCACGGGGATAGCCTGAGACTGGGTGAGATCGGTCCTGGGCCCTGGATGGTTTCGGTGTCGGGGCCGAGGGAAGACGGGATGAAGAGGAAACAAAGGGCAGGGAGGCCCAGCAGAGCCAGGGGATGAGGCCGGGCTCAAGCTAAATGTAAGGCAGATACAAGGAACGCATTATGGCGGTTTAGGGGCTGGCAGAGCCGCCGCACGCTCGGCCCCGTAATCCTGTTAGCCAGCAATCTCCATTCCGAAAGAGCTTCATTTCTTTGTGAATATTTGTAAACTAGATATCTAATGGAAAATTATAGGAAAATTATAGTGAAATTCATGACGGAGAAATCCGATTATCCCTAATTCAATTATGCCATCTTAGCCCACACAGCACATTTCCCATTTTTTTCCCATAAATACCGATGCCAGGGGTCCCGGTAATCAAATAAAATTGAAAATCATCTTCCCATTAAATTCAATTAGCCGCAATTTCTAAAGCCTATCAGAGATTTTAATTACTAAATTATAAAATTCTCCAATGCTAAATTGAAACCAAAAAAATTGCACATCCTTATATTTCAGAGAAAAAAAAAGGGGGCCAGCAAAATCCCTGGAAGATGCCCTCCTCTCTGTGCCCAGCTCCAGAGCAGGTTCCCTACCTGGAGGGACCGCACACACTGATGCCTGCTTGCCGGGCTGAGGACGAAGCTGGGAGGCAGGGGAGAGGGCCTGTTAGGGAAGGGGCTGAGGCATATTAATTTAGCAGAGGGGCAACGCACACCTCCACCCCCAAGCATCAGGGCTGGGCCGGGCCCTGGAGAGGACCCGCCTCCTCACTGGCTGTCCTGGTTCCTCAGATGCCCTCAACTTTGTCCCCCACTGAGAATAAGGTCTATAAGTGCCACCTTCTTGGCCCACGGACATGGCTTGGGCCCAGGTCACAGCTTGGCCTCAGGGCTCTGCACAGTTCTGGGGCAGCAGACCAGAGGCAGCCAGCTTCTGACCCAGGTGCCGGCTCTCCAGGCACCCGGCCGCGTCCCCAGGTGGCCTGGACTGGGTCAGAGGTGAGAGGAGGACGGGGCCTGATGCCCAGGGTGGCCAGATATTATAGGATGGTCCTGTGGCCCCCAGCCTTCTCCAGAGCATTCCCAGGAGCCATGGGCCCTGGCAGTGTACCAGCCTTCTGGGAGAAGAGCCGGGGATGGACGTGGCCCAAATCTGGCCTCTCCCTGCACTTCCAGCTGATTCCTTGTTCTTTCCCTCTTCTGGGAAGCCAACCGGCTTAACTGGCCAGAAGGACTACACTTGCCCCACGGGAGAGCTCACTCTTTCACCCCCATTTCCTTTTAGGGAAGTGCTGGCCATAACCCCAATAGTAGGCCCTCCTCTCTCACCCCCCGCCACCCCAGGCCACTTACCCCACTCTCTGAGGCTGCTCCTGGAGTCAGAAGAGCCTGGAGAGGTGGCACCAGTGGTAGCATAAAGTGACCCTAGATCTCCAACCCAAGGTGGGTGGCTGGGTGGGCAGCCGCTGGGCCCGGCAGTTTCAGGGCGGGCAGTAGCCGAGTTGCTGGCAGCTCAGCTCCCGGGAGCAGGGAGCAGGTTTAATTTGCCAGGCAGTCAGGAGTGCCAGCAGGGGAGGCACCCGCAAACAAAACAAAAACAAAAAAGTTAATTATCTTTGGCTTTTTCTTAATAAATATCCAAACTGGCCCAGCCGGATCTTCCGCTTTGGAGGGAGAGGGAAGAAGGAGGAAAAAAAACCCCAAACCAAATCCAACAGACTCATTCTCTCCCTTCCCCTTTGTCTCTCATCCTTGCATGTATCTCTTATCAGAACAGTAACAGTTTCACATTAATTCCCTAATTTCTCAAGTGTAGAAGTAGGGTCACAAGAGGTTGGTTTTTTTTTTTTTTTTTTAGTTTTAGGGTGGGAAAGTGGGTGTGTGGAGAAGAAAGAAGCAGGTGGGAGGGGAAAAAGGGAAAGAGAAACCCGGGTAGAAGTAAAAGAGAGTGAGAAAGAGACAGAAGGAAAGAGAAGAAAAGACAGAGAAAGTACGATGTAGGGAACTG